ATATCGTATGGAATTAGAGTTACATCAAAATATCTGCACAACGAGGCTACACAAACAATATACACGGCTAACTTCGAATCGGTTTCTCGATACGGAATTATTTTTTGGGGTAGCAATCGAAATATCGAAAAAATTACCATAGTTCAAAATAGAATAATAAAAGAAATCAACAGCTTAAATTGTAACCTAACTTGCAGAACAGTATTCAGATCCACCAATATAATGACAATCTACGCGATTTATATCTATGAATGCCTAATGTTCATTTATAAAAATTCACACCTCTTGACTGAGAATATACCTGCTCATAAGTATCCCACTAGAAGAAATAAATATATGGATGATCTGCAAAGACTAACAGCAACTGAAAAAAAGCGCCCACTATATGTCAATCAAGCTTTCGAGAAGCAGCCTTTGCAATTCAAGAGACATGATTGTGCCAAGAAATATTGGTGTCCATTTCAACCCTCAACAATCTTATCGAAGCACCGTTATTCTGTTTAAATCAAAAGACTAAGGGTAACGAAAATAAATAATATTCAAAAGATCCTTACTTATTGTTTTTTAAAGAAAGTTTTTGGCTTTCTACTACTCCAACTTGATACAAAAAAAAGGATGAGGGAATCTTCTAAAGAAAGGACAGAACTGGCTGATATCTCAATTGCCACAAAAGAAATAACCAGTGAAGGAATTTCTGGCAAGGTAATCGCATACTTGACTCTTTAGGCGTTGGGCATTGGGCGTTGACAATGTTCCTAGTCTTGTGATAAAGGACTGTATCGATGTTCTCTCTATACCTCTTATAGGCAGGCATATTCAGCTTAATTGTATCAACTTGTGCCTTCCCTGAGCAGTGGAAAACGGCTCGAATTTGTCCGATATTAAAAAAAGGTAACTCTAGCGATATCACAAACTACAGGTCAATTTCAATTTTATGTAACTTTTCTAATGTTACGTACTCCCATATTCAAAAAGTTATTTCTCCTACTCAGCATGGTCTCATATAACAAAGATCATGTATGACAAATCTTGCATGTTTAAATCAATATCTCTGTACGTACCTGGACAAGCAAAAACAAGTCGATGTTGTTTATTTAGACTTTCAAAAAGCCTTTGATCGAATAGACCATTACGTTCTTCTCAGCAAATTGACAAAATTGGGACTCTCTAACCAACTGCTTACTCTAATTGAATCATATTTAGTTAACAGAAAATAATTGANTGTTCGGCGAGTCTTTGCCTACACCTGCCGATATAAAAGAGATGTCTCCCAGCGACCTGTCCACCTTCCTGGAAAGGACAGGATGGGCGATGACCTAGGATGACAATTCCTCGGAAGGATATACAATGGGTCACATGTGGCCTAAGTGCTGTGGGCTTACACTCACCCTCCCTACTCTACAGATACAGAAATACCCTGTCGGTTTTTTTCCCAAAATGTACCTACCCAAAAGTAACCTCCTCAAATATCATTATTGAGAAAATTCTTTTTTGCTATATTTCATTTTTCAACGAGATTGCTTAGTGAAATATATTTGAAAGATAAAAATACTTGCCTTTTATCCTACCACCCTGGTAAACGCAACCATTAGAACATCTGTCCATCACTTTATTTGTTCCTTTCTAATAAAGAACGACCGAATATAAGAAACCGCAATATCCTATGAAAGGGCTTTCATGAAAGTTCTTCAACTTTCGTTATTAGTTTTCAAGGACGTGGGCACATTTCAGAAAGATATGTATTCGAGAAATGTGGCGCTTCGCAGGAAAAACTACTTGTGACGAGACCGAGCCTGATTGTTTTTTTGTTCGTATAAAGGGAGGGTATCGAAGCAAAATGTGAGCAAATATGAGATTGGCCTTTTTTTCATATCACTATGGATGGAGAATGAGGATACGTACCAGGACAATGCTGAAACTTCCTAAGAACGGTTGTAAAGAAGCTGAATGATTTTGTTGACTGCTCTTTTATATTCAATTCTAAAAATATTCGATCATAACTTCCATTATAATGGAACTTTTTTGGTGAAATTGTCAGGTCATCTCACTGTATTAACTGTCTTAAACATAAACATAAAAAAACTGAATGATTTTGTTGACTACATATATACGGAAGGGAATTCTGAAAGAGAAGTTAGAAAAGATCAAATATTACATGTGAATGATGGGGTGGAACATAACATACATTTATGCATTACATTCGATGAAAAATGGGAAAAACCATTGCTTTTTAAGAAATAAATACAGCAGAAACCTGTTGAATAAGTAGCACTAATCATATTTCGTAAGAAAATAATATTATTGATAATTTTTGTTTTCAACAACAAATTTCTAACTAATAAATACAGTATGATTGTATGATTTTCACTATTGATGGTTTTACAAAAACCGCGACACGTGTTTCGCTATACAATAGCTCCCTCAAGCGTAAACTAAAAGTTACTTCTAAATTACAACAATTTCATACTGTTACATATTACCTACTTGTATGTCTACTTTCCAATGAATGAATCTACCTGAAAAGGTCAGGTATGAATGGGGAATGTTCCTCCTGACGAAAATCAAGCAGTTTTCATAAAAGAGCTCTAAAACATCGCATTTTAGATTTATCATTTCAACCTTTTCCTTTAAAAAATTATTTAAATACTTGAAAAAGTGGAATGAAATAATGCATTCAAGATTTAAAGGAATTCGTTTCTATTTCACCATTTGGCAACATCGGTCATAGCTAGTAAAGGACAAAGAATCTGTTACCTGTATGAGACAAACAAAGATGAAATATTTCAGAGGCGTGCTGTTCTGTTTAATACTTATATTCCGAGTTCCGAAACATTCTGTTCCATATGACATTTTGTGCACCTAACATATCTTCCTCTATATAAATAAATAACAAAACAACTTTTGTTTATGTGGCTTGTGGAGGTGGTATTGAACTATAATTTATAGTTTGCCTTAATTGTTGATTTATAAAGATGATTTTCCTTTTTTAAAGTGGAATATCTAGGTACCTATAAATAATTTCAACTTGATATAGGCACTGTTGTCAATATGTGAATTAGAAACAAATCCCTTTTAAGATTGAAACCCAACATTTGAAACATCAATTTGAATACTTATCGAAGTGAATTGGAAAAACTCATGAATTAAACTCAACTTTATTCTGTTCAAACTTGCATTTGCTGTAATAACCCAAATTGAGGAACATACGAGCATGAATAAATTTTTCGAAACTACAGTAAATATTTATGATGCACTGTTTGGAACCTTTGGTGTAGTAATGAATATTACTGGAGTTTTTTCCCAACACCAAATCGTTATTTTTAACACCTCGACCCGTGTTTCGATCACCAAGGGAGTATCTTCAATCTTGGAAATAAACAGATTCAATAATGGTGAATTAATCAGTTCAGTTTTATCGTTCATAAGATATCGAGAATTTTTGAATTTGTTTATTTCCACACTCTCCAACCTTACGAAAATTTCTGTTCCGTCTAGTAGCCGCTTATTTAGTTTCCGATCGCTGCGTTTTTATAGCGTTGCCAAAATGTCCAACAGCAAACAGAGTATAATAATAGCAAGTGCAGCCTACATATTGATGCATTCTTATATACGGAAGAAGAAGAACAAACGGGATAAGCGATGGTGGGTTAAGCAGCTGTATAAAAGCAAAGAGATGTATGGTGGATCAACATTGTTAGAGGATTTGAAATTCCAAGAAATCAGCGGGCAGTTTCAAAATTGTGTCCCTATGTCATCACAGGATTTTGAGCTACTGATTGATATGACTGAATACGTGAATAAGAATGGCCGTTTTTGTTAGCGACGAGGGATTCATATACAAGTATGCAGTATCTTTTCAAAGTTTCAAACAGCTTATATCTTCCATTGTTTCTGAAACATGCCGGGCCCTTATTGAACTTCTGAAGAATTATATGAAGGTAATTCGATAATTTGTTACACATACTTGAAGGTTTTATTTAAACTAAACTAAGAATGCTACAGCATACAATGTGTATAAACCAAAATGAAATTATGGCGTACAATGTTGAATACGTCAAGTCAAAGTGAATCTGAATAAGTCAAATCAATATTTACCAGTTCGGTTACGGTGGGGTTAGGGGTTGAGCCTTGGGTTCAGCAGTGGGATTGTGAAGAAGAATAAGTTGGGTAAAGAGTTGTACAGGGAGAACGTGAGGTACAATGAGGTGTATAATGAGGTGTAGTAAGTTGTTGTGACATAGTATGAGGAACAAACTGTACTGGTTGAGCAACCCACTCGTATTTGCCGATATCAGCCTCATAGAGAATTCGACTAAAAGCATGTTCAACTTTGACTGGAGTCCTTCTACTGTTACCTCTCAGTTTATTTGCTATGTATTGTCCATATACTGCAAATTCATCTTCTGTTACGACTGCTTGAGGTGCGGCCATTTTTGTCAAAATTTGAAAAGCTTCCTCCAATCTTGGATCTTCATTTTACTGTTTTGCTTTCATCTTTTTCGGTTTTGGAGGCATTTCATTCACATCCTGTTCATTTTGGGGTTGCAAGTCAATTTGAGGTGTTGTGCTTCCTAAATCAGAATTTTGGGGAGAAGTATCCAGCGGTCCGCGATCTTCTTCCTCAGGATTCTGTACCTCATCAATAATAGCCTGAGAAAGTTAAAAATTGTGAAAAGTTATTCATTTCAATATTGAATCTAAAACTATATGCCGTCATCTCCAGAAAGCGCCAATAAACAGCGGCAGCGAATACTATAACTATGAATCACACTTTAGCATTGTGCTGTTCGCTTTAGTTGATGCAAATTACAATTTTATTTTTGCTGATACAGGCTGTGAAGGCTGGAATTTATGGAGGCGTGTTTAAACAAATTACACTACATAAAAGATTACAGAGCAATGACTTAAAGATTCCTACAGCAAGAAGTCTACCAGGAAGGAATCAGGAGGTGGAATATGTTTTTCTCGGAGATGAGGCATTTCCGTTGTGTAAGCATATTATGAAGCCATTCTCAGGAACCCATCAGAAAGGATCGATGGAAAGAATATTCAATTATTGTCTTAGCCGAGCGAGAAAAATTGTAGAAAACGTCTTTGGAATCTCTTCTGGCGTATTTCGAATATTAAGAAAGCCTATGCTTTTAGAGCCCGAAAAGGCAGAACTTGTCGTAATGACTATTGTTTTGCTTCACAACTTTTTAAGAAGAAACAAACAGTCTCGGACGTTGTATAATCCCGCGGGAACCTTCAATACTGACATAGATGGACAATTTGTGGCAGGCAGTTGGAGAGAAACACTAAATGAAAAAATGTCATCACTAATCCCTATTAGAACTTTGCCCCTAAAATCATCTAAAGAAGCACAAGACACTCGAAACGAATTTGTTGCATACTTTACTAGCAATGGTCGTGTTTGTTGGCAAAACCATTATGCATAAATTCAAGTTAGGACACAGTAGTGACTCACCCTGTACAAGAATCATATATAAATAATAAAATACTTACGCATTCTGTCTCTGTATCAATTGTTTCTCTTGGTTCATCTTTATCAAGTAAGTAATGCATTCTTTTAAATGCATACCATTTCGATATATACACATCTTTCTGACCTTCGAAACAATGCATTTATTTTTATAAAGTACCTTCAAAATCAGGATATTTACTAACCTATGCCTGTCCCAAAACTTTTTTTTCCTTTTGCTTTTTCCCTCCGAAATGACCCTAGAAGACTATTCATTTTCTGTTTCGCTTCATGTTCTTCCACTTTTAAGTTATACGCAATATGTTCCCATGCATCTGATTTTTTGTTCCTTGAGAAGTGCTCCGGATGTTTGGCATTCCATAAAATCGGATATTTCTCATATTCATCTATTAATTGGAGCGCCTTTTCATTGTCCCACTCCATATTTTATAAAAGACTATGCGCGAACAAGCTTTCATGACCAAAACACCGTCCACACTGAGCACGAGTTTCCTTTGATGTACCGACAAGCGACGGATAGTATTCGTGCGGGAACGCGCTTACGCACACAACATTTTTGAGTGGTACTGACTTGAGCAAATTTGCGCGCACAGCGTTCGTGTTCGCAAATTTGCTCAAGTCAGTACGCACCTTTAGACTTAAACTGAATTTTTGAACTATTAAACTTAGTGTTATACTTTAAGGCACGTTCAAGAACTTATTGTGAATTTTTGTCATGTTCAGATTCATTTTCTCCTGTCACTATTAACCCTACAATGTTCAATTTTCTGAATTTATATGAAAAAAATATGAGATTGCTCAGAAAATTCTCAAGAATTCCCTAAAAATACTCGAAAAAAAAAATATATATATATATATATATATATGTTCGGCTGACATATTTCTGTTGTATATAACTGGAAGAATTAATTTCTTGTTGAACCACAATATGTATTTCATTTGCAATAAATACATCATATTCATATCACTCAGTTCATTGAGCAGGATGATGAATAATGGAAAAATTGATCTGAACGATTGATGCATTCAAAATTTTGCAATTTTTACTCATTCACTCAGAGAAAAATGCAAACTATCAAATAATTTTCTAGGTTTCGTCGTTTACCACAAATAAATAGACCTCGACACTTTCCAAAAAAAAAAGATAAATTCAATATCATTCGTTAGGTCTAAACAAGAAAATGGTTCGTTCACCAGGCAGCACCTCAAACTTTTCCATTCAGAAGAAAAATCGAAGTTTCAGAAATTTTCAAACCACGGTCCAAAATGTATATGATTTCTGTAAAGCGTCACATCACGTTTATAGTTTTTACTTGATTTCTAAAAAGCTACTGACCAAAACAATGTGAAAAATATAAAACGAAGTGCTGATAGTGACAGCCCACAAAAAAAGACGTTGAAGCCATGTGTTTCTGTGGGGTTTCTTTTTGTGGGTGTGTGTATGTGAGAGAGTGAGAAAACTATTATACATGTAGTTTTCACCAATGCGGTTAACCCAATATCAGTGGAAAGATCCATTACTGTCTAGTATATAAGAAGTCAATTTGAGTGGCATAAAAATAAATAGTTACCGAACGTCGGCAGTTTTTTGTATGGCATAGGCGGCGTGGTATTTTTTTTTCAAAATTAATTTAATAGTAAATTTATCAAACCCGGTACATTAGTGTCTCATTTAGCTGTTCGGATTGACTCCGTATAGACTAAACATTATGTTTATGTTAGTATTGGAATAATTATCCTCAAAGTGTTTGGAAAAAAGAGGGCTACGGTTAGATGCATATTCCAAAAATCCAAACAGAAATATTATGAATCAGTCAATACAGTCATATACTCAGAATTTGTGGCAGAATTTGTGAGTCAATCTCCTCAATGTTATATGATGATGAATATCCATAAAATACTCAAATGATAATTTATTGTGAGATGTTCACTGAACAGTTTACAAAACCACAAAATCGCAAGATTTTTCACAATGAAGTGATTCTCAAAGTTAATCAGATGAATCCAAGAAAACAATAAGTCTGTAAAAGAAATTATATTTTTTTGTGGAGCATGCCCGTTAATTTTTCGAGACAGTTGTCATTAATTTCTTCGTCTTAGTACAATTCCATAATAGTAGGCACAAAATTCCCAAAAATAGTATTGCATTAAAACGAAAAAATTGTTGTCTAGGTTGAGATTCTATATATTTCATATTTGGTGAGCTCAAAATGCTTGTCGAAGTCGTTGATCTGAGACGTTATTTTCAGTATTTTTTCAAATATATACAATTTTGAATATTCCACCGATTTTTTAATGCAGAAAAACTATGGACATCTTTCTTATCACTTTCTATTCGCCGAATGATAAGGTAGCAATTTTGATGTTACATTAAGGAACCCAGCTTTTCGGGTCTTTTCCATTAGCAATAAATGTCTCTGAAAGATGTTTCACTTCAATTAAAAGAATATCATCTGTTTGGACAGTTTCCAGGTACTCTCAGCAGGCAGTCATCTAGTTGAATGTCCCGCCATTAAAACAGTTCTGTCTGGACCGAAGCGAAAATTTGCCTATGAAAGGTTTGCACCACAACAATAACTGAGACCAGGTCGGATTGTGCTCCAAAGAATTATTTCTTAATCTGGTATTATTGTTTTATTGAGGGCAATAACTTCTTGAGGATTAGGAAGGGTAAATGAGCCAGGGTACATTATGTTGTAAGAAGTATAGCAAAGTGATTATGGGTATTGGCGAGCCAACAGGTAGAAATAACCCTCAATATAATAATATCATCTAAAAAACTGATAGTTTGAGTAATCGAAATAAGTAATGTAAATTAATTGTTTTGGCGACTTGTGTACGAAAAAAATTATCCAATTTTTGTTGTATATCAAGCGTGTTTCGCTAACCAAATAAGCATCATGAGTAGATGGCAGTCTTAGACTTTTCCTTTAGAAAGAAACCTATATTCTTGGAAAGAACATACAAAATTATCAAATATAATTAATTTGGTATCACAACTGAACTAGTTGGAAGTAATGGCAAACCTTGTGGAATGGTTTTTCTTGCTGAAATACTGATATTGATTAATTAAAACAAGACGGGCCCTGACAACGATCCTTGTAGAGGTCCATAAACATCATATATCAATGAATTCTAACGGGGAAAAATATAAAATACATTTTTATTAACGTTCTTTGGGTATTTTTACCTTACACAATCTTAAAAATATAAATTTTTTGTGAAAAATGAGAAATGGAACTTTCTATGGTTTTTACAATTTTTATTTGTAATTAACGTTACTGCTTTTTCGTCCTATAAGGACATTTTCAAACTCATATGTCTTTATAGGACGAAACTGCATTAACGTTAGTTACAAATGAAAGAGGTGAAAAACAGCAAATTTCATTTCTGATTTTCCATGATGATTTGCTACCACATAGTTATCAGCTACATTCATCAAATAATTATTAAATTTTTAATGGAAAACTTTACCTATGCATTAACATTTTAGTTCACCCCGATAAGTTTCCCCGTTAATTCAAAGTATTTTTCATAAATAAAAAGGTTGTATTTACAAATTTTGCCTACCAAAAAAAGAACTGAGAAATTATACAATACTTATCTTAACGTTTCGGAGGCTAAAATCTGCCTTCGTCTTTAGAAATGGGCAAAATTAAAGTTTGTTTCTCCTTTGCTGATTAATTTTATTTCTCAGCTTCTACATTTTCATGAATATTAATAAATAAATTCATAATTTTTCTTCGCCAATAAATTAAAGGAATTAGGTTTCATAATTCGAGGAATAGGGAATTATCAGAAATTCCATTTCTAATTGTCTATTGTGAATAATTAAATACGATAAATGTATAAATCCGGTCATTTCAAACAAATCAACTAAACTGAAATGAATGGTGATATTATGATAATGAATTGAGGCTCAGAAGGTCTATATTATTGAATTATATTCAAAAATTATGAAAATTAATTGGGCAATTTGGCGATGAATGAAAGGGATTTGGTTACCTTCGAATAATTTTTCGTAACACTAAATAAAATAATCTCGACATTTCGAAAGTTTCTTATAATCCTATTCTGAACAGTGTTTTCATAGTTTATCATTGACGTGGTCACCATGTTTTGTATGGGATACTCTGAACACTGTGTTGTTATTTCGGTGTCATATTTAATTTATTTTTTGTAAACATTTTTGCTGGGTTTCATTCTATTTCCAGAGATGCCTACCGCACTCGGGAGAGAGACTCAAGACTAGAGACTTACTTAACTGTCTAGTCTCTTGTCCATTTCCGACCTTGGCAATACAAAAATGAATTTTCTACAGCGGTTGCAAGAAATAATTTTCTGATCTTGTCATTACAGTGTCACTGTTAACTCGACTTTTTTTGTTATTGTTTGATTATGAGAAGGTAACTTCATTTTATAAACGCGACTCTTTCCCCCCTCTTAAACGTACGACATTTCGTCGTACAAGTCACTTAGACGTCACTTGTACGACAAAATGTCGTACAAATGACGTCTAAGAATATCTATAACAAACGAATAGATTCATCAGTCAATGAATACGAGTCTAACCATTTCAATAAGTACAATTCGGTTTTTTCTTTCGATGATCGAGTTACAAACAAAATCCTTCTTGTGAAAACTCAATGAAAAATGACTCTATGAACCCTCAGTGAAAAATGATGTTGACATCAATAGTTTTTCTTCAAGTTCATCTAGCAGTTGTTTCGGCCACACATCTCTTTTGCACTTTCGACTGCCGCTCAATATTTTCCATGGGGGGTGGAATAGAACCACTAATTTCCTATATAGTATTTTCATGTAATTGCTTTCAAGATAATAAGAAAACCTATCCAATAAAAGTGCTGAATTGAACCACCAGTCTAATGCTGGACTAAACTGTCTTTAAAAGAAAATTTGTATAATTGATGACTTGTTCATTTTGTGGAAATTAATTTCATCAAAGTATTTGGATAACTGCGGTGGCATCCCACTTTACGAAGACATCTTTTGCGGGATCGTCAGAAAAGTCAATCCACAAATATCAAAGAGTCTTCCCAAAGCAGTTCGTTACAAAGTCTAACTGCACATCTCATTCAAAATTGGTTTTAAAAGACACCAGCATGCCTGATGAGATCTATGAAGATCGAAACACTGCTCTCTATTGGTGGTTCTGCTATTTTTGTCGAATTGACAGATGGGATAGTGGCAGATACACAGTGTTACTAAATCTGTAGAACAGTTGCTTGAGTTGTGACAAGCACCGGTCAGCAAGAGATTAGAGTTTTCATAGTAACAAATATTAGGTTGTTTTGGTTGATTTCCGGTTTTTGCCGTGGTCTTCTTTGGTTACCATCTCCAAACGTTTCAATTTTGGCCCGGTTGCAGAAAGTTATAGTGAATCACACCAGCCGGTGATCACCATACAGTAACCATAATTTTTTTGGTGGGTTTTCGCCTTTTGGATGTGCCTGGGTGGCTTATCGGTATCCAACCACTATTCTGAACGTCTCCTGTTGTCGTAGAGGATCCTCTTTTCGTTACACGTGACGACCGATCCAAAAAAAGGATAGTTCTGGTTGCCCAAAAGCAGAGAACTGACCTCGAAACGTGGCAATTTCGA